ACGGGGGTGGGGCTGGCCAGGTCTCGATCTAGCCCAATGGGGGTGGGGCCAGCCGGGTCTGGGTCTCATGTGACTTCGAGGCACACGTGGGTGAGCAGGGACTTGACTCTGGTTCCTGTGGCAGGCCCCAGACTCTGACAGGAGGAAGATTTTCATGCACATTTTACTAATTTTCTTTCATCTCTGACACTTCTATTATAGAGAAAGGACACATAGCAATATTAAAATATTTCCTCTAATTAATTCCCTTTTAATGTGCACGAATTTTGTGCACCAGGTCACTAGTAATTCTATAATTATATGATCAATGTGGATTTTTTTCATCACCATGTATTCCCAGAGCCTAGCATAGCACATGGCACATCATTTCTAAAATGTGTGCTGGCTGAATGAATGGGCTGGCCATAGCTTGAGAATTTATCAGAGGCTGCTTTCAGCCTAAACTCTGGCATCTGAATAAAGATCAGTATACAATGGTGAGTACACTGAGGGACCCTAGGGTGGTGGTCAAGGCCAAAAACAGCAGAACTGACAGAGGTGGCAGGAGAAATCCATGTGTACCCAGGTACTGCCAGTAGGTAAGGTGACAGATAAACACAGTATGTGCTATATGCCATTTTTTGGTTAAGGGAAAAAAATTAAAAATATATACATTTGTATTTGTTTGGTTTTGCTTAAAAATTGAGATATGTAAGAAATTAGTAAGTGATTATCTATGGGGGCAGAAGGGCATGGAGGTGGGAGTGAAATTTCTCAATGAATGCCTTTATATCATTTTGATTTCTGAACTATGTAAAAAAAGTCTGGTAAAAAATAAAACTTTAAAAAAATATTCGAAGAAAAAGAAAGGAGTGAAGCTATGGAATTCAGCGCTGTTTAAAAGCTCAATCAAGTTTGATAGTTCTTTTACTTTACCCTCTCCTTATATGCACAGCTAACAATACATTTACCAAGAACTGCTTTTTAAGGTCTAGCAAAAGTAATCTTTCTTCCACAATCCCTTCCTCTCCCTCCAAAGTGAAGTTCTACACAGTTCTTAGAGCCTTTGATATTCTCTTACCTAGGTCAGTTGTCTGTGTATATATACGATATTTATAAGCTTCCTGAAAGCAAGAATCACCTCATTTTTAAAAAATACTTTTAAAAAACATTTTTATTGATTTCAGAGAAAGGAGAGAGGGAGAGAGAGAGGGAGAGAGAGAGAGAGAATATCAGTGATGAGAGAAAAATCATTGACCAGCTGCCTCCTGCACTCCCCACACTGGGGATCGAGCCTGCAACCTGGGCATCTGCCCTTCACCGGAATCAAACCTGAGACCCTTCAGTCCAAAAGCCGACGCTCTATCCATTGAGCCAAATCAGCTAGGGCAATAATCACCTCATTTTATCTCTGTATTCCCTCTTGCCTAGTTCAGGGACTCTCATATAGTAGGCTCTGAACAAATAAAATATTACTTGAGAAGAGAGTTATTGCTTAATGGGTACAGAGTTTCTGCTTGGGGTGATGAAAATGTTTTGGAAATAAATAGTGGTGATGGTTGCACAACACTAAGAATGTAATTAATATAAACTTAAAAATGCTTAACTTTGTTATATGCATACAAACATATACGTAACATTGTTGGCAGCTCAGGTCATTCCAAAAAGAGAGCTTCAACTGGTGATAACTTAAATCTCTAATAAAATGAACAGACAGTGTGATCATATGAAGAATGTCAAACTGAGAAAAAGCCATCTGTTGGTAACAAATCAGACTGTATATAAACTAGATATATACATATATATCTTTTTAAGGACTAAAGAGGCTCTTTCAAACTTTTTCTTTATTTAAAATGTAGATTCCTAGAAACAAAAAAACAAAAAATAGATAAATGTAGATTCCTAACTCAATAGAGACAGTAGTCACAGTAATTACCACACAAGAGGACCTCAATAAATGTCGATGTCCTTCGTTTTTCAAATCCCATGTCACAGCCACCTTGGTCTGATTCTCTCCTCTATGGAATTCCAAGAACTGGTTTGATTCACCTAATCATCTAACTGGGGCCAGTCCTTTCCAGCCATTCACTCAAATCCAAAACTCCTGATTTGTGGGGCGCACAATCCTTCGGTCATCTATAAAAGTGTCTGGAAGTTATCGATATTTTTAGTCAAAGTCAGGGACATAAAACTCATTTTTTAAGGGATATAGTGAATCCTGGTATTCATCAGCAAAAAGAGCCCCTCCAGTGTGAAAAAGTGCAATCTGTGCCTCTTTTAAAAATAGAACCTTTAAGGTTAAAAGAAAAAAATCCCTTCCCGAACTCACATTGCCAGACACATCAGCCACACAGGAGCTGACAAGACCTGCTGTTTCCATGACAGAGAACATGACACTTTGAAACCACACCACTGAATGAAAGAAAATGGCGGGAGCTTTCTGCATAGTGGTCCTCCGCCCAGACTGGGGCACAGACTAACCCTCCCCCTGAACCAGATCCCTGCCACTTTTACAAAGGCCACGGGACATGTCCCTTAAACACTAGATTTCAGGTCTTCATCATTCTGCCCTACGGATCCCTTCTCTTCAAGCTCTTTGTCACGGTCTGGGAAAATACTCTGACTTCCTATGGTGGTGAAGGCATCTGAGTCCAATCGTCTTCTTTTCTTCAGTTGGTGTAAATGGGATTTGGATTTCATATGTGCTAAATAAAACAACAACAACAAACAACTCATTAGGCTTTTCTAGAATTAATCCTAGCAGCACATAAAATTAGCTATGCAAACCTTCTGTTTAATAATAACAAGAACAACACATGTATTGGTATAGCTGCTTAGCAACTTTAAAGGAAGAATAAGTTATATGGCCAGCGAGCTAGCAAACTATAGCAAGCTACCACGTATCACACGCACCCTGCTAGGTGCTTTGTATCACTAATCCTCCCCAAAATCTTGCAGACAGTACTATGCAGCTCATTTTATATAGGA